TTCTTGTATAATTTGTATTGTTCGGGAGTGGTTTTCCTGAACTGTTGTTGCTGTAGACTGTTTTGTTCGGTAGATTTTGATCTTTTTTCATGTATTGATAGAATGATTTATTTGGTTCTTTATATTTTTGAGGTTTATTTTGATTGTCTTGCTGTTTTTGTCTACATTCGGAAATACTATGTCCGTATCGTCGGCAATAATTACACCATTTTTTGAAAGATGGTTTGCCTTTAAAGTTTGGGTTCTTTTCGTAAATATTGAGTATTTCAGTGATTTTTTCAACGAGGTCTGTCTCTGATTCCTGTATATTATTAATATTAGTGGGAGTCGTTTCAATTCTGTTAACGTATTGTAATTTCAGATTTTCCGTTTCTTCTAGTTTCATCGTGATTTCTGCTTGTTCTAATTTGTCTACTAGTTTTCGAAAATCTAAATCGGGTTCTCGAATTGAAGAAGGATGGGATGCTCTCTTTTTTATTGCTATTTTCCTTAATTGTGGTGTTAAGGTCATCATTAAGATTTCTGTCATCTTTGTGTTTTTATAGTCGTGTGTATTTAATGAATATGCTTTTCGAACTAGTGTTTCGATTCGTACTGCTATTTGCTTGATGGTTTCGTTTGGTAATCTGCGAATTTCATTACATAAAACTCTTTGTTGTTGTTTGTTTCTTTCGGAGTCAAACATGTTTGAAAATTCCTGTGTAAACCTTTTCCAGTTTGATTTTATTTCTAGAGGTAGTACTGAAAACCATTTTTGGGCTGCGCCATCTAAGGTTGTTTGTATTAACGCTGTGCGTCGATGTATCCAATTTTGATGTAGTGGCGTATTAATTGGTTCAGGTCCAATATTTAAAATCAGGTTTGCTGTTACTGCATTTAAATAATCTTCTACAGAGTATTCAGGGTCTGTTCCTGTGAAAACCATTAAAGGTTTGTTTGATGTTATTGATGATCCACCCATAAGGTATGGATTCATTGTCATTTGTAATGATTCTGCTGCATTTGGCATTTGAGAAAAATTTGAAAGTTGGTTTCTTGTTATTTCATGTTGTTGGAGATAATATGGGAGTGGTATTTCATTTTGCATTTGTGATGCTTGATACGAGTGTGCAGTCATTGGATTTTGTTGTTGAATTGGTTGAAAAGATTGTGTATTAATTAGATTTTGTTGTTGAATTGGTTGTTGATGTTGTGCATCTATTGGTTGTGGAGAAAAATTTCTATGATTTGTACGTGTTCTCTGTATTCCTTGTCTACGATATTCTTGAGTATTTGGTGCAAATATATCTGGTTGTAAGAAATCATCATCTGAGGATAAATAATCCATTTGATAAGATGTCTGTTTTTTATTTTTATTTTGTTGAAAAAATGGGTAATTTTCACTGTGATCCTGTGGAGGATTTGTTTGGAAATTTATTGAATTAGGTTGGGTCATTGGGTTATCCCAATTTCGAGATCTTGTATATTGGTTAAAATTTCTTTGTGGTTGGTTATATGTTTTTGATGGATGTGTATAATTATAATTATGGTCTGCAAAGTTGTTTCTAGTGAATGTTTTGCGTGTTTTTGATGGTATTGTCATGGGTCTGTATGTTTGGTAATCCATATGTGAATATTTAGGAGCAACCGAAGGTTTAACGGTTGATTGTAAGGTTACTTGTGTTTGTGAAGGATTTGTATTTCTTGGTGTTGTTAAATTTGGGCGTATTGGTGAAATACTTTGTTGTGTAGTTGTTGTGTGTACAATTTCTTCATTTATGAAGTGTGATGGTGTCTGGATATCTTGTTCAGTAAGATTCCTAGTTCCATTGAGGTTTTCATTGTGTATAACTGTAGAGTTTAAACTATTATTCTGTGTATCGGTCAAAAATGTATTATAGTTTAATGGTGTTGCATCAATGGTTAATGGTATTACTTTTACATAATCTCTTATGTAAGATATCGTACTTATTGCTTGACTTGAGATTGATTGTGGGAAGCTTATAAATGCGGGATGAGACCATTCGGGGTCCCAAACATAATCTGATTGTTCTGTGATAGCGGTATCATCGTTCGAGTTTTGGGGTCTAAAATTTTTTCTTGCTTGTGCAATTAAATCAATATTGTGTGTGAAATAATCTATTATGAACCATGCCAAAATTTTTTGTAGATCGTGTTTTGTATGTTGTGAAACGTCGTCTTTCGTGAAATTTTCTTTAATGATGTTTAAATAACTAGAGAGTAGTGTGATTTCATGTCGTACTCTTAAATGTTTAGATGTTTCTGTCGGTGAGACATTTGTTATTGGGATTTCGTTTTCTAATATCGAAATATAACTATATATTATTGCGAAAACTTCATTGGTGAATATGGAGTTTGCTCTTTGTGAGTTATGATATTGGATGCTTTTTATATATTCTGAAAAAACTTTTGAAAATTCTAAATCAAGATCGTCTGTTTGAATTGTATATTGTCTATTATTATGGTTTGGTGAGGTGAATTCTATGGAGTAGATTCCATACTGTTGTGTTATGTTGCATATATCTTTTAAGTAGTGGTCTATGATTTGTCTTTTGATTTTTACATCTGGGAACTCTGTTTTACATGGACTGATTCCGGGTTCAAATAAATTTAATAGTAAATTTTTGCAAAATATATGCTGTCCTCTATCAGTGGTTGCATCTACTATAAAAGGAAAGATTTCATCATCATCTGGACTTTCTTCACCTGGGGTGTGCGTTGAGCTCATTTTTTCGTTCGATGACTGTTAATATGTAATTATTAATGTGTCGAATTGGTTGATTCCAATTGTATAAATGTACTGGTTTGTGTTTATACTGCTTTTTTATTCTTCTTTTTCCTCTTTTTGATGAATTTGAAGTTGTTTCTGAGTCAGAAAAATATAATTGATCGTGAAGTGGGCAATTTTTATCTATTGATTCTTTTAGTTTGTAAAGTTCGTCTAAACTGTTGGTTTCTGATTCTGAAAATGCGTTTCGATTTTTTGAAAATCTTTTTCGTGTTATTTGTCTTTGTTTCGTTATTATTTTTCTTTTTAGTGTTTGTCGTTTTGTTCGAATGTATCCAACTGTTTGTGTATGAGGTGTGATTACAAGGTCGTATTTTTGTTATCTATTTCACAATTGTGTAAAACGATTGTTTGTTTATTTCCTAGGTTTTTAAATGACATAAGGTTTAGGATGACGGATGCAAAAGGTTGTTAAATGGTTTCTATTTTCCTAAACTGTTAGTTCTTACGATTTTTTGGTTAGCTTAACCTGGGTCTATTTGTTCAGGGTTGGAGAGAAAAGTATATCGATTCCGAAGAATGATTTTTTACTTTCTCGTGGCTAGTATAAGTTAAGGTGTTAACTTACTTAATCTTACTTAGGGGTAGTGATTGTGTTCAAGGGTTGGAGAATAGTAAATCGATCCACAAGGTTCAGGTATAATTAGAACGCGAGTAGTTCGTTAGATACTATTTTAAACTTACTAAGTCTAAGATTTATCCTGGGTCTGTTAAGAGGGGGGGTCAAGTGAAGGATGAATAACCGAAGTTCTTCACTGTTTATCCTAATTTGAATGATTAGTTTTGTTTAAAAATTTCTATTAGTCTTAGGTCTTTAGAAAGGGTTGGGTAGTGAATCGACGTTTGAGGTCGTTAGACACTAATTAAGTGGGTGGGGGAGAACAAAGTTGTTCTGTTTGATCCAAGGATAAGCCTTGATGATCAAATTTGAAATTTAATTAAGTAGAAAATGATTTAAGATCCAAGGATAAGCCTTGATGATCTGGTTTTAAAATTAGGTGATTTTAAGTTTTAATAAAATTTTAAATGTGTGTAAAGGAAAGATTTAGTGTTTTGATGATATTAGTGGGTTTATGATTGCTGTTATGTTTTAGGTGATGAAGCTGGAACAACAGGATGATTTATGATTACTAACCATTTATTGTCATGCTACTAATTTTTATTTTTTATTTTTCAATAAATATTTTTCAAACATGTTTTGTATATTACTGCAGAGTTTTAGGAAAACGATCTTAGATCTTTTTATCAATCGTTATTGTATATTAATAATTTTGTTTAGCGCCTGAAATGATTTTGAAGATTAACTTCAAGGTTTTATGTTTGCAAATGAAAATCTAAATTCATTGCTAGTAGTATTCTAAATATAAAAGTTTGTTCTGGTTTTTGCCTAACTATCATATAGCTATATGGCAAGTTTCTACTTTGTCGTATGTCGTCTCTGGTTCGAGGTCTTCTTCCAATTCCGGGTAGTTCTGTTATGGTTCGGAATATTGGCTCTGATCTATTGAGTCGTAGAGACATTTCGATTAAATTATTGTCGTATAACATTTTTTAAATGTTTTTGTCTAATTTCTAATCTATTTTGGTTAATTCTAAGCTATTAAGGTCTTGTTCGAGACTTATGGTCGCACCAGATGAGTTAGGACTGGTGTGTATAACTCATAGAGTAATTTCGGATAGGGTACACCGTCTGCTCGTCACGCTATCTTATTTTCGGCCGGATAGATTCGTGCAACTTCTTAGTCTAATACCGATCCTAATCTTACTCTTATACTATCTAGTCTCAGGTTGTTTAACTAGTCTCTGCTAGGCTCAATAGATCTAGGGTATACTGGTTTATTGCGGCTGCTGAAGTGCTCGGGAGAGTCCAACTAATTTCTAAGTTAAATTCAAATCTCTCTGGTGCTGAAATTACAAGTAACTTCAGCACTTACAAATAAGTGGGTTGTTAGTTAGATGGATCATGATTGGTTAATATTAAATACTTTACATTGGTAAAATATCTAATTTATCCAATCATAAAATATAGTTTAGATCAGGTTCCACAACAATGATTTTCCTCGGTTATCTATGGGCAGAAAATGAGATTCTACAACTTCAAGTATAAATTTTAGTAGAAAAAAAACTAACTCTAAAGCTATAGCAGTCTTGCTAAATCCTAGTATATACTAAATGACATTGATAAGTTCTTCGTTTGATTATAGAATCTTACCTTGCGCTGATTTAACATCTGCTATCACTGCAAAAAGTGTGAGTTTTTTAGAAACGCCACTGAAAGCCTTAACGACTAAAAATTGATTGTAATTTGATTTTTTTTTGTAAGATCAATGCTCACATACCTTTTTCGAGTAAGAAATCGACCACTTCTATTCTAGAAGTTTCCACCGCTCTCATCAATGGCGTAGCTTTATGCATTGTGAGTGCATTGATGTTAGCACCTTCGTCCAGTAACAGCTGGACAATCGGCAACTGGCCGGAGTTGCAAGCGAAGTGAAGTGGTGTCCAGAAGAAGTTGTCTTTGGCATTCACATCTGCGCCCAGACTGAGTAGAAAACGGACCATCTGGACATTACCCTGGCGACAGGCGGCCATCAAAGGAGTCTTATAGTATTTGTCACGCTGATCTGAAGTTGAAAAATTAGAGATTGTGATAGAAAAATTCGATTTTAGTTTCTAAATATACAATCTGTTGTAAATTTATAGATCCCGATGAAACAGACACAAATGTCGAAAAAGGATCAGTTTCTTTTTCAGACTGGAAAACTTTTTACATTTTTGAAACTTAAAAACATTTTTCTCACTTCAAAAAGAAAAGAAAAAGCGTTGTGAACAAATCATTTTATTTGTGATCTAATACTACTGACCGACGTTTGTGTGGCCCAGCATGATGGCCTTCTTGAGAGACTCCACGTCCCCACTCCTAGTGGCCGTGTTCAAGTTCACATAAGAAGTCCCACTGTCCTTCATGTACCTGGAATACGTTGAAATTGTCTTTACTTTTGGAGAAAAATATAACTTTATTATACATCTTAACTTGATTATTAAAACCTATAGGAATCATTGTAAAATTGAATGGCTTATAAGCAATTTCAGTTATACAAAATACATAAGCTATCAATAGAAGCAATAGAAAAACTTTAAGACTATTGAATTACTTGTAAATGTTAAAAAAATCTTCAAAGTAGTAGGTCTTACCAATAGGAGTCATCAAATATAGGATGTTTGGGTTGGTTGTCGCGAGTGAATTTGGACCAATCAACGAGTGGCACCAGCTGTTGGATATAGCTCGCCGGAGGCGCTCCATTTGGCATTCGGGGTCCCTCGTCTCGGGTGCAGATTGGAACTGCCAGCTTAAACTTCTTCTTTTTCCCACCTTTCCCTGAGATCAACGACAACTTGTTTGCATATAATTTTATTTAAAACTAATAATAGTGGCCGGTATCAAGGGGCTTGCAATCGAGATTGAATGGGTTGCATTTCAATCAGGAAATTGATCTCCTATCCAGGGGCGGATCTAAGATTTTCTCGAGGGGGGCGGATTTTAAAAAAAATTTTGACCAAAAAATCGCTTAGTTTCGGCGCGCGCTCCCCCTCAAAGTTAGTATATATTGACGTCGAAGGGCCGGTCGTCCGAAAATGGATTTCTTAAAATGTACCAAGGGGGGGGGGGGCCCTTTGGGTCGGCAGGGGGTCGAATCACTGAGGGAAGAAGAGCGTCCGCATCCCCCCACCCAAATCCGCCCTTGTGCTCCTATCTTCACCAAAAAATTCATCTCACTTTTTTCACTGCAGGCACTTTTTAAACACGACGCACCTTTGGTGTTTTACAAGAAAGCGATCCTGAAATGCTTATTTTTTCAAAAAAAAAGCCGGCCAGCTGATTTACCCGCGCGCAAAGTTTTGGCTTAAAATAGGTACTTTTTAATGCAGCAAGAGACAACATTTGTCGGCAGTCATTGCCTTGCAGTCAATAATTAGCTAGAGCATTCTAATGCGGAAATTGACGTGGAACCCAATGATAATTCAGTCCATTTTAAAATCAATTGGTAGGGCCTTTATCTGAATTCCATTTTCTATTAGGAACGAAAATGCGACAGTAAATTTATGCCAGGTAATGAGTTAAATTAAAAATTGTTTGTAATTATTCGGACTCACCTTTGCCCCCTTTCTTCTTCTTCTTTCCCTTTTGACCTTTGGGGAGGAATGCTGACCTGAGATAGGTCTTGTGGATATACTTCTTCCCAAGTATGAACTCCTCGTACTTAATCACTCCCGAATTCTCCCGATCGTGCAGTTTGTAAATCTTCCTAATTAAATGCAGAAAAGTTATGATAGTTGGAGGAGAATCATGGAAAACCAAATCCTCATAAAAAGCTTTCAAAAGTTCCGTCAATTTCTTAAAACATAAGACTCGGTTGAAAATTTGAACCCAATTAAGGGTTTGAGAAATTGACGGAGATGTTTTTATGCCACTCCTGTGCATAAAAAAAAAGGAATCGACCATTTTTTGTTAAATCATTTTTTGTTAAATCATTTTTTGCTATAGTTTTTTTTGTGTACTACTTGAGGAAAATTCGGAAAATAAAATCAATTGTTCGTTATAAATTTTTTTGATTTCAGGTACCAACCTGTACATTTCGGGTGTGGCCGACTTGGGTCCATGCATCTCCATGACGTCATAGAAGGCGTGCTCGTCCACGTGGCCTGTGGATTCGGGGTCCACCTGATGGAATTGATCGAGTAGGTCAGACTGGTACTCCTGAACCCAGTCATAAAGACGCAACTCCTCCGGCTTGATCTGGAATAAAGTACAGTTGGAGAGTTTCGGTGCGCGGAAGAAACTATCAGGATAAGAAAATTGAGTATAGAGAAAAACAGAAACAGAATTACCTTGTCATCAGCCTGATAAAGAATCAAACATAATTAACTAAATTCAATTAGGCGATAGTTTGAGGCGATAAATCGAGGTTTGTAGAAAGTGACTTTTTTCAGACTGAGAAAAATTTTGACGAAAAAACAGCTTTTGTTGGCCTATATTTTTTTCTAAGACGAATACGTTTTCCATGACAATTCTCCAGCAAATTGTACATTTTGTATTCCTCGTGTACGCATACACAAAACAACATTTTAGTGCTTCGAAGTTTTCTCGAAATGTCTCATAAATGCGGTATGTTGTTGGAAAAAAATCAACCACTTAAATACATAAGACAGCTACAAAAACATTTCACGAGTTTTTAAAAAAATTATGTGCAAAATGTTATGAAAAGGAGGCCAACCAACAATTTTAAACAAAATTATTACTAGAGACACTACAAAAACTGTATGTTAGAAAAAGTGCTGCTGTAAGCATCCCAAACTTCAACGCAATAATATCTAGCTTTGATAGCAAAGAACTAAATAGCTTGAACCATCAATTTTTGGATTTTTGGAAAACTTAATCAAAAAATGTGGTTGGGAAAATAAAATGTTAAGTAACTAACCTGCTGTTTCAACTGTTTCAACTGTTGCGTTTATTGTTCCAACTTTCAAAGAAAGTGACAAACATTTAAGCTCGGGTTGGTTTTTGGTCCTGAGCAATTTTGACTTTTAAACAAGCAATTTGTGACGGAATTTCTATATCTAAATCGAAACTGTTTGTTGTTTGGAGCACAAATTGAATAAGATTTTTCACCTGTTATGATGTTTCCTAAACCTATGGGGTTTTGAAGATTGCCAATTTGGCCAATTTGAGACAATTAAAACCCGTTATATTTCGCGCTATTAACGCGAAAGCGGCAAAGTAGACAGTCTCAGAAATCGCTCCAAATTGAATTAAGGCATATTGTTTGGTTTTTCCAAGACTTTGCTGTATGCAAAATATATCATTTTGTACTTTAAATAGCGTGAGCTATGATAATTTTCAAAATTGAAAACTGAAATTTTTCCGTTTTTTCTGTAAAATTAATCAGTTTTTTACTGGGAACATTACTCCATAGAGCCTAAAAACACAATAGAAACGTTCAGGGCGTCGACTTGATACAAGAAGTTTTATTTTTTTGAGCAAAATGGGTTATTCAGTTGAAAAACAATGAAAACCTTTAGTTCTTTATCTACCAAAAAACAATATTTTTCGCTTCGATACAGAGTGCAAGGTAAAACAGAAACAACGATTGACTATATTCGCTCCAAACAGCCTTAAAAAATGCGAATTGATAACAGTTTTGCGCTCTCTCAAATGAGTGTTTTGTTAAAAAGAACTATGAATTAGTAATTTGGTTTGTATGATTTTCTCACTTCAAAACAAATTTAAATTTCAAACTTCGAAGAAAGTGACAGAATACTTGTCCTAGGTGTGGTTTTTCGACAGATCAATTCCGATTTTTCAACTAGCTGTTATTGAAAAATTTCCTATATCATTCAAAAAGTGTTTCTGCAATAAGCTCGAATTTTAAAAGGTATTGCACCTGTGTTCATTTTTTAAAGTTTATGTGGGTTGTAAGATTGCCAATTTGGCTGATTTGGGATACTTAACGCGCAATACATTTCGTGATAACAACCCGTAACAAATTGAATTGACGCATGCTACTTGGTCGTTTCAATACTTTGCTTTACGTGAGATTTACAACTTCGATCTTTTTATTTTTATAGCGTGAGATGATGGTTTTCAAAAATAATTGTTTTGAAAAATTTTCGATTTTTTTGAAAATTTAATCAGTTGCTTCTAAACCCGAACACAACACTACTCCATAGACTTGAAAGGGCAGTCGGAACAGTCGGTGCGACAACCTGATACACGCATTTTTATAACGATTTTTAGTTTGACTCGTCACTTTATTCAAAATACTTCATCTGGGTGCTTTTGATAAAAAAATAACTCTTTGACAAATTTTGAGAAGGCGAAAACGAATTGTGCAAAAAGCTAAAACGGAAAACTCTTGTTTAGTTTTTGAAAATAAATTACAAAACAACATTTTTGTTGAGCTGAACCATGTCTCAATTTCTGTCTTGCAAACTTTCTATGCTCTTCTATAATTTTTTTGATTGTTCGACAAAAAAAGAAATTACAATTTTCAGCACTACGTTCTAGGATTTAAGTTACGAATATGAGCTGATAACAAAAACTGTAACCCTACCTTTTGAGCAGCTTCTAACTTGGCAGCTTTCTTTGCCCACTTAGAGCACAGTTGAAACTGTTTTTTATCCGCCTTAGTCTCCTGTTCCTTCTTCATAATGAGGGCGATTTTGCTAGCCAGAAGACCCTGTTTGTTCTTAACTGAACCAGGACACATTCTGAAAGCCAACAACTTCACACACAGTTGGTGGCCGCTCATTGCAGCGTAGTGCAAAGGAGTGTTGCCTGAAAAGATTTGTAAAAAAAATGCAAACTCTTCGAAACCTCTGCCGTTAAGTCATTAATTCAGTTATTGATTCAATAAAAAACATCTCCGTATCAAAAGCATGCTTTAAGGCTTGTACCTAGAATTCATTTGCTCATACAAAAAGTGTTATCTTAAATACTACCACACTTTTGTACTGTAATGAACTACCTCTGTTCTCCGTTGTTTTTGGTGTTTCGATTTTATCGTGAACTTCTATGAAAAATAATTTTAAATTTAGGTCTATTAAAAAATTGGTTGCAGAAAGTTACATTCGAAATTTAAAACACTGTTATATTGGCTAGATGATTGCACTGCAGCTCGCATTTTCTGCAGCAAAAAATTGCAGTACCATTTTCAATAAATGTCAATAAAAGACCATAATAACAAAAGAATGCCGGTTATATACAAAATTTAACCTTCACACAAACCGAATAGAAATGTTGTTACAAAAAACGTAAAACTATTAATTTATGGAAAATTCCAGCCAACCTAGCGTGTCCTGTTGGTCCATTGCAGCCCCGTGTGCTGTGAGTACCTGCAACACTTCAATATGTCCTGCCTTGGCTGCAAAGTGAGCGGCTGTCAATCTCTTCCTATTCACCGCATCCACTCTAGCACCTGCGCCAATCAGCGCCTTACACACCTGCAGAAATAGTATTTAAAAGATTTTGCAATTAAGACCAAATGAAACAGTAACAGTAATAAGGAATATGAAGTGAAATTTTATTACTCCCTTTTCTTGGTTTTTGAAAAAAAATAATTATGAACATTTTTGTGCAAATTAGCTGATCGTCAGAGTATCAATTTCGGGCGGACAATCAACAAACCGCTTTATCTTGAAGCCGAAATTATATCAGAATAACGTAAATTACATCAAAATTACGTAACAATTGCATAACAACAATGACAATCTGTTGTTATGTTGCATAACAATATTAATTTTCGGCTTGTTGGAATGGTAATCCTGTTTTTGTTTTGTTGGCACTTCGGCGTGTTGGCCTACCGCCCAATTTTGTGACAAATTTTTTGGTTATAAAATGACTTTTTTTTCATAAGGTAATTTTTTTACCTTGATGCATCCGTCGTGTGCTGCAACCTGTAATGGAGTGTCCATCCTTACAGCTGTCTGTGCATTGGGGTCAGCCCCGAACTCCAACAGGCGGATGCAGATGTCCTCCACCTCACTCGCCCGGATACATGCCTCATGCAGCACCTGCGGATAACACCAAGGATCCTCAACAAATACAAAAAGGCCGCGAAAATGCAAAAGAATTGCAACAGTTAACAATGATAGCTGGTTCCTCTGCAATTAGTACAGATAATGTTTGCACCAGTGTAATTAATGCAATCAATACTTTTAATTTAAGAAATTCTCATACGTGGTTTCAAATTATGGTCGTTTTAAATCATAAATATGAACCTTCTCTATGATTTAGGACAAAAAAATCAAATGGTTGGCCCTTAAACAAACACTTCTCTCGAAGAGTTCTCAACAAAATGCAGACAAGTTCTTATAGACACAAAGGGAAACTTTTTATTCTGACTTTCGTAGAAAACGGAGTATTTATACTTGAGTTGGCCTTTTTTACTCAGTCAATGTTGGCGACCATAATAATAGTTTTAAACTAACAGTTTTTTTATCCCTTGAAGATATCGAGTCTCTGAAATCAAAAACGAAAGGTATTTTTTCTCCAATTTATTTTTGCAAAGTTCTGGGAATTTAATAACTGTCAATTTTGCCATGCTCTAGACTAAGTTATGCGCGCTTTGAAGATTTTATTTTAAACGCTGAAAGCGTAACGCAAACTGTTTACGCATGAAAAATTATTCCAAATTGATTTGAGGATAACTAAGCTAATCGGCCATTTTAATTTCCAAACTTGAATTTTGCACTTGATCTTTGCTAAGGTCCAAAATCTAAAGTATTTCACTACTTTTTTCTCAAAAACTATTCGATATGGGTTACGGAGCAGTCGGAACATTCAGGGCTTAGCCCGAATATACTAGCAGTCTTTTTTGTTTTTAAATCTGAATCACGGTCAAAAAAATTCTATAATTCTCTTACACGTTTTCTCTGTTGTACCAAAAAAACCTACGCGCAAAAACTTCTCGGGGGCAACTATTGTGGTAGATCAAAAAACTGATCGTACTAAAATAAGTCTTAAGAAACCCCCAAAAAAGCTATGAAACTTAAGCAGTAACTGAAACCTAATCAATGTCAGCATACCGGCAAACGGAGGCTCACTTGAGAGGACACATAACCGACACCACTCTTCATTACCGAAAGAATTCCGATTTGATACTTCTTTAAGTTATTCTTTTATCGTTTCTACTTTCGAAGGAAGTGCGGAATTTATATGCTCGGAGTGTTTTGTTTAGTCAAAACACTTTCACGAAATTCTGCCCTTTAATTGCAAAACTTTGCCCACGGGATCAATCTCTTGATCTGGATAGGGCCATTTGAGTGTGCGCACCACAATAGTAACCTGCAATCAGTACGGCTTGTTCTTGTCTTATCATCCCGCACTAATTTTTTTTTTCATCCCGCATCACAAAACCGCTTCAAATTGCACTGAGACAGCTAATTGGTTTTATAAACTCTATACACGACTCAAAAAGCACCACTTAATTGTTTTATTATCAGCCTAACATTCATATCTTTGCCAATATACAATTTGCTAAAAAATATCCGAGACCAATTAAAGTGCAGTCGGAGCATTCAGGGCTTTGCCTTGATACGAGAAACCTTGTATTATTTTATGCTAAAAGCTTAACGCAAAATATTCACTCGTGGCAAATTATCCCGCTGTACAGAATCGGTCCAAACTGAATTGAGACAAGCTTACTGGCAGACGAAACATTCATGGCTTCGCCCTCATACGAGCAGTCTTGTTGCCTTTTGAGTTGTTTTCTTATGGGTATTTAGCATCAAAATGTACTAATTTTGAGCAGAGCTAGAAAAATATATTTGAAAAAATTCCATTACGAGGCCAAATTAAATATTTTCTGAATTGTAAGCAGCTCTCACAAGAAGGACGCTTTCTTTGTTCTTCTTTTGTTTTCTTTGATCGTTTCGACAACTTTTTGACATGTTTAAAGATCTGTCTCAGGATTCCAGAGACCTGCACCCCTTTTTGTGCTCAATTTGGCTTCGTAATGTCATGCAAAAAAAAACAGCTTGACTTCTAAATGGCGTTTGATCCGAGCATCAGTTAAAGTTTTATTTTTCTTTAAAACAAAAAAAATACCATTGCCAGATCAAAAACAAATAGGTTCCGACTTTACATTTTTTCTGGTTGCCAACAAACTGATAAACAAAGAGATAACAGCAGTTGACGACAAGGAGTTATTTAATGGTTCCATAATCTTCAAATTGTATTCATCATATACAAATTGGATTCTGATACTCTACTGTTTTAAAAAATCTCACTTGGTTAATTTTGCTTTTCTCTTTTCTCTTCTCTAGATTTCTTATGAGCAGGGGCGGATCTAGGACTTTCTCGAGGGGGGCGGGGCGGGTTTTCTAAAAATTTTCGAAAATTTTGTCGACCTTTTTTTAGGTCGTTCGAATTGATTTTTTGAGCTCTCCCTAAGCATGGTTTAGTCCCTGTTTTGGTAAAAGTTTCTGCGCCGCAGGCAAAATTTTGAAAAAACAGTCCAAAAAAGGCATTTTTGGGCACTTTTTGGAAAATTTAGAACAAAAAATCGCGTTTTTTCAGCGCGCGCTCCCTCCACAAAATTAGTATATATTGGCGCCGAAGGCGCCTTTAGAAAAATTAAAAATTGATTTCGTAAAAAGTACCAAAGGGGGGACCCTTTGGGTCGTCAGGGTGTCGAATCCCTGAGGAGAAGGACGTCCGCCCCCCGCCCCCCCCCCCCCCCTTAGTCCGCCCCTGCTTATGAGTGAACACTTGGTGATTTGAAATGCTTCCTGATAACCCCGTCAAGACTTTTGTTCTGTTTTATCTACGGTTTAATTTTTGCAGCATTTTTATGCATGCCCTCAATGAATGAAAAACTGTAGTAAATCTTTCATTCCAGAAAAGCAAACGCAATTTTCGTAAAGCTAGGTTTGCCTATCATTAAGGTGAAACCTTCCAATTAAGAAAGTCTGATGCAAAAATTTGTCCAATGAGCCACAAAAACAAAAGTTTGGCTACCGATATTCCTTCGAAGTCGGAGTTGTTGGTGTCTGCCCCTCGCCTGATCGCAATATCAGCACAGATCAGGTGTCTCTTTGTCTTCGCCAGACTCCGGAACAACACCCCACGACCAGATTCGTCCTGAAAAGAAAAAACAAGCAATCTATTCGATGAAAATGCTACTCAAAAAATCAAATTTCAGAACTCATGGGCCAATAAATATAATTTTGATCAACTTTTTGGTGAAAATTCTTATTTTTGCCTCGCTCAACTGATACATCTAAATTCAAACTATGAAATTATCAAAAAAAAATTGAACCAGGAATAGGAAAACTTTACTGACTCATTTTAAATACTATACAATCAAAATTTTCAGTCAAATTGAGCTTGAAAAATCTATGAGAGCTTCATGTTTTCAGTTTTTTTCTTAAAAAAAACAATAATGGTTTTAGTGTATCTAGGATAAATTTTTATATTTTTGGGGGTAAATTTGATGAGCGCTGGTGAAATGGTTCGGATGTTCCCAGCATTTCTCAGCCCGAAAAAATAACGCAAAAACTTGCATTATTTTTAGGCAGAGGCAACACCGTTTCTCCGCGATGAGCTGAACAGCTAATATGTTTGTACTTTCCCTTGTGGAAAATCTTCTGAGCTAAACAAAAAGCTTTCTAATTTTAACCTGACATGCAATAAAGTTTACTGACCTTCAATTTCATGTTGACCTTTAGTGAGTCACTATCTAGCAGCTTCATGACCTGCACGTGTCCATACTCTGCCGCAATCATGGAAATTGTCCTCCCCTTTGCGTCCTGTAGGTTCGGATTGGCTCCTGCCTTGAACAGTTCATGAAGCATGGCCCAGTCATTCTCCAGAGCACATAAGTGTACTGCTCCTAAAAAGAGACAAGGTCAAATTCAGGGCTATCGTACTGTCGTTTGATTTACACGTCAGGATTTACACTACACTAAGAAGCATTCAGTAATTACAAAAAGAAAAAGCATAGCCGGCTACTGTGCAAGTGGCACAGAATGTTCCGACCATAGTCTTAAAAAATACAACAACATTTTTTCAATTTTTTTAAATATAATTGTTGTCGTTTTTCATGTGATAAAAGGAGACTGCTCGCTCGCTTTTTTCGTTAGAAATGGAAAATTTCAAACCGGTTTTTCACGACACGGGAAAAAAATCATTGAAGTTCCTTATTCGAATCACGACTGTAAGGGCTTTAATATGATAAATCACTCAACTCAGTCTGAAAATTTTAGGGTTAGTCGGCCCAAAATGGATATCACAAAATAATGGAGACCCTTTGGTTGGAGAGGGTGTCGAATCATTCAGGGATTCGATTCCCTCATCCACACCACTCTACCATTAAATTTACCCCTGCTTTCTTTTAATTCTAAAAAGACACTTTGCTGACGAGGTTGATTTTTTGAGCATCTTTTTTTTGTTTTGATGAGGAGGTTGCAACTGGATAGGCTTCATTAATTTTTTTAACTAACCGATGCCTTCTGGGCCCTTCTCGACGTAATTGACTAAGTGAGGAAGCCCATTCTGGATAATTTTGTTCAACACTTCCTGGTTCCTGTTCCGAATACAGTCCAGTAACTTCCGAAGTTGCAGCTCTTCCAAGCGCGTCTTAACAACTAGTTGCATTAGGAGAATAAGTTATAGATCTGAAATTATAATAAAGTTCTAGTTAATCGATTTTGTTTCAATTAAGGCACCTAATGAGAGTTTTCAAACCGGAAAGTGAACCAAGAAGACTTTTCAAGTAATTGGCAATAAAATAGTTGGTAAAGGCCTATCCAATTTAATCTGTAACAGTTAGTATGTTGTTATTATTGGAATACATAACTGTGGCACGCTGAAACTGAGTTTCAGAGCTGGCTTTGCTTTTTGTTCAATATGGAAGTAAGGTGATTAATTTTTTATTGAATAGGCAAAAAACCACGTGTTTAATATTGAAGATCGGAAGAAGGAAATATCAAACTAAATTGCAAGTCCGTGCGTTTCACATTTATAAAAGTTCCTTTGAAGCGTGTGCTGAATATTAAAATCGTTTTTTCTTTCAAGCAAGCCAATACACTAATAACCTAGCCGAAAAAGACCATTCGACAAAAAATTAAACCCGCTGAAACTTTGAGTGTCCAAAAGGGAGCCGATGATTACAGAAAGAAATCATTTTTATGTAAGCAGATTTGTAGACTCTTTTTTTTTGGGATATTTAACGAAAAGCCTCAAAAAATTGCCAAAAAAATATAGCAACAGCCGTTCGATTTTTACGTTTGTTTCTATGATAATTATAATAAGTTGTTTGCAATATAGACTCCATTCACCGTGAGACTTTCCATTATTCAATAATATCCTAATTTAATCAAGTAGATTAGAATTTGGGACGAATTTATTAGGCAAACCTATGTACAAAATGAACATCGTGTGACTTCGATATGTATTTAAAAACCTAAAACTTTTCTCGGTGTGAGTCCTAAAATTTTTCTCAGTTACGGGGTTTTTGATTTTTTTTTGCACAGCAGTCATTTACTATTAGTTTTAGGGGAAAACAAAAAAACTATGAATGGGACGCTTTTTTGCTCAAAATCAATTGAGAAACACTCATTTGATTGATAAAATGTTACTTTGTTGTAGCTAACTCTACTTTATACAATTAAAAGAATAAAAGAATAAAAGTGAATTAGTCTAAAGTTAAAACATTAAAAAGTGACGAGAACATTCTCTCCGCCGGAGAGAATGGCAAGTGAAGGTCATCTGTAAGTGACCTGTTAACTGATTAAATTAAGTAATGTTTGCAGTAAGTGCAAAATAAAGTATGAATCACAACATTCCTCTAAGCAGGAAAAAATTTAACTTGCACCTATAAGTAGTTACAAACTAACTGTGTCCTTTCTCCCCTTTTTGGGGAATAAATAAAAAAAGAATTTACGACACCAAAAGTGTAAAGAAGCTGGATAACTAAACTAAATACAAACAAATAATAGCTCTAGAGGTAATGCAAAATTGTTTTATAAAAATTATCCGATATCCGACGGATATTTTCCCAGAAGGAATAAAATGACAACACCGATAGTCCGAGGAAAGTTTGTAAGCATAAGTTGATGAGTGAAATTGTATGGCAAAAACGAATTGAGTTAACTGCACTCCGGAAGATTTGAAATAGACAAGGGTGAAAACACTGGTTATCTAATCCGAAGGATTAATAGGCTAAAAGTATGGTTACACAATCTAAGTATTCTGAAAATGAGAATAAGAGCATGAGATGAGTTAGCATCAGAATGAGGATTGGAGAAAGTACTCAGATGAAAATAAGTTGTATGTTATCATTTGTTATTTCGGTAACTATCTAAAAAAAATTCGAGTTCTGCATTAAATTTCGAGTTCACTGTCCAGTTCTGAATGATCTTCAAAATTATCAATCGCCATTCTTAGGGATTCGTCAGTTGAGGAGGTAGAGATTTGTTCTGGAGATGAGGGATCAGAGTCAATTGTCACTAGTTCCACAGGAGTTCCACTGTTGTTGAAATCCTGTTGATTAGTATCGCCGTTTTCTAGTACAATTGGACTTGATGCCGAGCCAGAGATCACTTGGGGTAAATCTACAACATCTATGAAGAATCTTGTACCGTAAAATTTTGGTGTTCCTACATTCCTACTAGAACGTCGAATGATAGGAGGATCGTTACCGGGTTTGGTAGAAGGGACGGTATTCGGAGTGGAATCGTCTGCTGAATCGACTATTTCATAGAACGGAAAGTCTGTCAGGGTGTCCTTTTCCACCGGATTAGTCGAGTTGTCCTGTGAATCCGGCAATTTGCTGTTTGAAGGGTATTCCGCCTGAGACATAACACTCTGGTCGCGCAATGTAGGTTTTGACCACGCCGGGATGATGCTTATTGGGCATTCTACTGGTTGGTCCCCGACTTGAATGGCGTTGTCCTCCAAAATCTCAGTTTTATTGTTAGTATTGGGTGAGCTAGGGATAAGGGGATAGGGACTTTTAAAAGAGTCCGAAATAAAGCACCTCTCTAGCCACGTCTCTACTAGGGAAAACTCCCGCTATCCATTCCCAGTCGCTAGTATCTGATGTATCCGAAGGAATAAGCATGGTTTCACCCGAAGCAAGATAACCTAGGGGGGGGGGGGGGGCGTTGTTGACTTCTTTGCTGGCGTGTTTGTCTCCGAGAAGATTTCGAGGAGGGCCTCGACACACGTGTCCTTGTCAAATTCTCTGAGGATCCTAGCTCGACCTGTTTAGGGGTCCTTGTTTGTGGCTTTCGGGGCTTAGGTTTACGTCTTGAACTCTCGTGCTTCTGACCTACTTCAACTTTAATGTTAGGAAAATAAGGGAATGAAATATTTCCTTTACAAGGTCTAATCTTAGTCAAGTTTGAATCGCGATGTCTGACTTTCGGATTATTTTTCCGTCGGATAATTCTACTGTCGAATTTATGATTCTTTTGTTAAGCTCCTTATAGAAAGGATCTCTGTTGATAGTTCCGTTTGTTTTCCGAAGGACTCCTTTGAAGGGACTCTGAAGGTGTACTCTATCAGTGTGAGTTTTCGAAGTGGCAGCATAGTCTGTGTCATAACCCTTCTCTGATGCTGGTTGATTTTTCTTCCAAATCAAATTGTCTTTGTATCCGTCTTCAAATCTGTCATCAGTGTTCCAATCATTCGCTCTTTCCTTCGATAGTATTGATTTCCCTTTGTCTGAAATTCCAATGGATGGTTTACCGGAAGCTAGTTGTTTACAAATAGTATTTAGTTTTCTATTTAAATGAATTTCGAAGAGAGAACATTTGATTTTAGATTGATAAAATGATCGTAGGTTCCAGATATTTTTTGAAACGGCTTTTTGTAATGTACATTTTTGTTGTTCTTGAGATATAGCTAACAGTTTGATTTTCACAGTATGTACTGTTTTTCAACTAATCCGTTGGAACGATGATCGCCTACTGTACAAAATATTATTTTAATATTGTTAGAATTGCAGAATAATTTAAAATCTTGACTTGTAAAGCAAGATGCGTGGTCTACTCTTATTGAATAAGGTATACCGTGTAAGAATATGTACTCTTGGAGAAATTCGATTACTGTTTTTGCAGAGGTAGATGAAGTAATTTTTGCCGAAGGAAATTTTGAAAATTGAGCGATGCAAAGTAAAATGAATTTGTTTGACCCCCAATATGAATCTAAAGGTCCAGCGAAGTCTAAGTTGATTTCTTCGTTTGGTTTTAATAGGGGGGGGGGAGTTCACTGATTTGCTAATTTGGGATTATGTTTGTAGTCAGTGCAAAATAAAGTACGAATCACTACATTGATGCCACTGTTCTGATGGTAAAGCTGACGTTTGGTCTCGAATACCTGTTTTTACCGAAATTTAAAAAGTTAGAATAAATCAGCTGTAACATGGTGTTGATTTTCGAGGTTTGAAAAACAAAACAAAGTGGAGCATCATAATGTGGCTAATTCCAGGACTCAAGAAAGTCGTCAACATCACATATCATGATTGATACATATGGGGGAGGAAGAACCGTTGAGACTTTTTCAGAAATTGTTATTTGTATAATTTAATAGATCAAAGTGACTGTTTTTTTTCGAAATGGCTTCTGTAGATTTATCTTTCACTCTACTTAACGGCCGCAGAGTTTCACCCCTTTATACCGTGTAATAGCGGGGGATACTAAGACACGATATTATCCCTAATTCATAAAGGGTTATGTTGGTGGTCAGACTAAATCTGCCGATCAAAGGATTACGCACCTCCTCCCTTGGTTTACGCTCTTTTCGGCTCTCCCCTTGCGTTTCTAGCTAGTTCAGCAAATCGTGGGCACAATAGGTAAACTCACAATCGTAAAGAAAATAACATCAACTTAGAATGCTCCTAAAAACGTCTTTAACGAAGCCCGCGTTTCGCTCCATTCGATGGCTTCGTTAGCTCCATTGTCAATCCTTGCTTGACGCAAATCCAAACTCGACTACTCCAGCAGCGCAACTCGCTCGCACAATTAACCCGGTACTAAACGTGGGTTCAAACCAGCTAGACTAATTTCTATCAACTATGAGACACAATTAGCCTCGCTTCAAGCAATAGCGTCCTCCACGGACCAACCGTTCGCTCTCTTAGTGTAAGTGTTCTCTTAACCTGAGAACCAACTATTCGGCTCACGAGTAAAAATTGTTCAATTTCTGGAAGGCTATCCGGTGCCCTTCAGTTCTTCAACTGTATTAACACTGAGTTTTAATTAAGTCTAGGCATTCCTTATCAGTTCTCACATCCGCTCAAATATTTCGTTCGCACATATTTCATGACAACGTCAATCCCCTTGTCAGCACTCCCATGTGCATCGTTCGTTTTCTTTTATCAATATTTTCATGCTTATTAGATACCCGGTTTGCAGTAGGTGTCACAATTTGACCCAGCAAACAAATATCATACCGTCCTATTAAAGAAATTCTTGAACTCAGTGAATTTCAGTCCGAGGGTAGGGGTGACCCCTTTCATGGGCAGCGATTTGACTCCAAGCATCTAAAACTTGCATCTATACTCTATTCCCATTCCGACATTCTAGCCATCAAGCGAACGTAGTTCGCCTTATAATGGTCGAGCTAAGCCCAAAAGTCACCTCCGGGGAGCCAAGTAAAATCTCATTCCTTTCATTTTATTTACGAGACTCAATTCTTAAGCCGCGGTCCTACTACTGTCAATTTTCTCTGGTACTCTTTTTCTTAAATCTAGTTGAATTGCAATTAATAGATCTTTCGCCTAGCTAAGCTGAGCCCAATATTTACCTAGTCCACTTTGAATTAATTCTACTACCCCAAGGTTGCATTGCAAAAGCTATATAGCAATCAGCTTCTGCTTCAGGTCCTATAATACAAATTTCTCAAAGAAGGATAACAGAGGGGCGTTTCATTACTGAATCCGCTGAGATCTCACAAAATA